GTTTTTTTTTTTTTTTTTTTTTTTGTATTAGAATGTGTGTGTGTGTGTGTTTGTTGAAAGTGGTTTTAAACTGATATCCAAATATTTACTTAGTGTGATAAATTGACAGTAGATTTGGTCTAACCTAATAAGAAACTAAAGTGAAACATTTCAGCTTAGATTAGTCTTGAGTTATTAGCTTTGGAACACTATTTGAACAATGTTTATGAACCCAAAAAAGTGAAATCAAAAGATAAGATGAAGGACCAAAAATATATTTTAGCCAATTTTATTTTATCCTTGAGAAATTCCTGTACACAAGTTTTATTGGTATGGCATTAGAATTTAATGAGTGAAACTAGACATGGTTTTGACTTCACACTTGAATTTGTACTTGAGCAGGTACGAATATGAGTTCATTAGGAAGATGGTTCAAGAGGTCTCTAAAGAGATTAATGGTAGCCCTTTATACGTTGCTAAGAACCCAGTTGGGTTAGAGTCTCGTGTGCAGAAAATAGCCTCACTTCTTGATGTTGAATTAAGTGATCAAGTCCACATGGTAGGGATTTATGGCATGGGAGGAATTGGTAAAACGACACTTGCATGTGCAGTGTATAATTTCATTGCCGATCAATTTGAGAGTCTTTGTTTTCTGGCTGATATTAGAGAAAATTCAGTGAAGCACGGGTTGGTACAACTACAGGAGACACTTCTTTATGATTTAGTAGGGGAGAAGGATGCTAAGTTGGGGAATGTAAACAAAGGAATTCCAATAATTAAAAACAGGCTCTGTCAAAAGAAAATACTTTTGATTCTCGATGATGTAAACAAATTGGAGCATCTAGAAGCACTTGCTGGTGGACTTGATTGGTTTGGTTCTGGAAGCAGAATTATTATAACAACAAGGGATAAGCATTTGCTACATGTTTATGGTGTGGAAAAAACTTACGAAGTAGAAGGGTTAAATCATAAAGAAGCCATTGAATTGTTTAGCTGGTGTGCATTCAAAAGAAAAGAAGTTAATCCTAGTTATATGGACATTTTAAAGAGAGTAGTACTTTATTCTAATGGGCTCCCATTGTCCCTTGAAATAATAGGTTCTGACTTATTTGATAAAACAGTGTCGGAATGGATTTCGGCATTAGATACTTATGAAAGAATTCCTCATCAAAATGTTCAGGGAATTCTTAGAGTAAGCTATGATGGCTTAAAGGAATTTGAGAAGGAAATTTTTCTTGACATAGCATGCTTCTTTAAAGGAAACAAATTAAGTGATGTCATAAGCATACTACACGGTGGTCGTGGCTCTCCAATAGACTATGTTATCCAGGTGTTGATCGATAAGTGTCTCATAAAAATTGTTCACTGTCATGTGAGAATGCATGACCTGATTGAGGATATGGGTAGGGACATTGTACGGCAAGAATCACCCTTAAAGCCAGGTGAACGTAGTAGATTGTGGTTCTCTAAAGATATTCTTCATGTTTTCAAAGAGAACAAGGTATGTGCAGGGTTTGTTCATCTCTTGGATCCTTGATTTTTCCTTTTTAGACAAAATACATAGTGGAAGATCTGATTCTTAACCCTCTACAATTTTAATTTTATTTTGAAAAAGTTTAGCTGTGAAAATGCTTTATAATTTGAAAATTGACCTGAATTCCATGCTTTTGGATTAAAGGGTTCGGACAAAACTGAAATCATCATGCTAAATCTGCTCAAAGACAAAGAAGTGCAATGGGATGGAAATGCGTTAAAGAGGATGGAAAACCTTAAAATACTGGTTGTAGAAAATGCTCGCTTCTCTAGAGGACCTAGTCATCTCCCAAAAAGTTTAAGAGTGCTGAAATGGTTTCGATATCCTGAAGCTTTGCTGCCAGCTCATTGTGATCCAAAGAAAATTGTCATACTTGACTTGTCTATGAGTTTCTTTTCATTTGACAATCAGCTCATCATGGTATGTATTATTGCTTGGAAAAATGCTCAATTTGATGGGGTTATTTTATGATATTTGTCTGAGGGTTATTTTTATGAGTTAATCATCCATACACTGTCAGTATAAAGGTGATTAACTCTATTTTTATTAGATTATTACACACAACTCTACAATGATGAGATATTGTCCGCTTTGGGCTTATGCCTTCACGGTTTTGCTTTTGATCATCACCCAAAAGGTCTCTCTAACATTGGAGTATGAATATGTTTTATAAGTTATTATTTTTTCTTATTTTATCTATGTGGAACTTGTTTGTATCCCAACACAATTGTACGAAGATGAATTTGTGCCAAAAAGAGACAAATGTGTTTGATTGGTTAATTTAATATAATTAACCACCCTTATTTTCTGTCAAATGCAAACAACCATTTACTGGATGTGATTCGTGCAATTTCCCATCCTAACAAATAGCAGTGCTCTATTGCTTACTCTACATGTATAGTCACTCATAGTTATTGTTTGCATTTTGCAGAAATTTAAGTCTTTGTCTGAAATGAAGTTAAGCGGTTGCAAATTATTAAAACAAGTACCTGACTTGTCTGGGGCACCAAATTTAAAGAAACTGCATCTTGATCACTGCAAGAATTTAGTTGAAGTTCATGATTCCATTGGATTCCTTCAAAAACTTGAAGTGTTGAATCTTGATTATTGCACCAGTCTCAGGGTTCTTCCTTGTGGCATCAACTTAACTTCTCTTGAAACCCTGTCCCTCAGGATTTGTACAAGTCTCAAGAGTTTTCCAGAAATTTTAGGGAAGATGGAAAACTTAAGGTACATTTATTTGAATGATAGTGCCATAAGAGAATTGCCCTTTTCATTTGGAAATCTTGTGGGGCTTACAATGCTCACTCTCAGTGGATGCAACGGGCTACTTGAACTACCGAGTAGTATTTTTATGCTTCCAAAACTTGAGATCTTGCAAGCTAACAGCTGCAATGGGCTTGCACAGATAAAAAATGGCAAAGGACAAGAGCAAGAAACAATGTCTACCAATGTGAGAGATGTCGGTTCTTTTCCCTTTGAAAGAAATGCTAGTTTTGGTCATTGCTGTCTCACAGATGAATTCCTTGCTACCCTTCTTCCTTGCTTGCACCATGCGACACGTTTGTACCTCATGCGTAACAATATCACAGTCTTACCATCATGCATCAATGCATGCCACTCTTTAACAGAACTTTATTTGGATGGATGCAAGGAGCTTAAAGAAATCAGAGGGTTGCCACCAAATATAATACGTCTATCAGCAGTAAACTGCACGTCATTGACTTCCCAGTCCAAGGGAATGTTGCTGACTCAGGTATCATCATACCTCTGTTTTCATCATTTCGGTCTTCAAGTAATTAGTTAATTAAATACTATAATTTGTGTGCATGTCTTTGTTTTCCAAGAGTGAGTTAGTAGAGTTGTTTGTCGAAAATTGTCTTAGCATTTTAAGTTGAACTCCACTGAGATAAAATAGTGAATATGCTGATGTAAAGGATTTTTATACTGTTATCTAATCATAAATTGTGATATAAGATAAGTTTTGACTTTTACAATATTTACTTTAAAAGTCATATCAACCACAATTTCTAAGTGGTTAATAGTATAAAATTTTTACATACACAAAAATTAAACTCTTTTACTTATCTCAACAGCTATTTTGCAGGAAAACTTAACTGCACGAAATGCAGGAATTAGACACATGGATGAATATCCATTTTTTTAATAAATATTCACAAAAAATATAAAATACAGTTTTGTTCATGCCAGACCATCAAGCATGTTGATCAACCAACACAAGATTGATAGAATTGTTTCAACATAACCAATAATCTTGAGTTTAAGTCAAGAATATATCTCCTATAGAGAATACCAGTAGTCTCCTGTTACGGTAATTAATAGAACACAAGATGCTAGGAACTTCGTTCGAAGAATCTCAATTTGCAGGAAGTTCTATAAAAGAAAGAACCTCGAGACTTTATTACTTGAGAGAATACAGAGAGAAAGAATTACAATTGTTATCCAAGGTTCACAATTCCTTTCTTTATGCCTTATTTAACTATTTATAGAATTAGTTAGCTGTCATCCGCTAACTAATTCAGTTATAAAATTGACTATTACAAAAGCTATCTAACAATTCTCCTCCCTTAAAAAAAATCCTTGTCCTCAAGGATTACCCAAAATGTGGAAGCTTTTGCAGCAATATTCCCTCATCATTACAAACTTGAATCATGGACAAATGTACTCCATTTAGGGTTGTTTTCTCCATCTGTTGGTTCATGATTAGTTTCACATTGCCCTGGGTAGAACCCCTAAGCACATGTCTTTTACCAGCCATAGTAAATTCCATCTTTAATTTGTCGAAGTTCCAAATGATGTCTCCCACTGTCACTAACCATTCAATTCCTAACAACATGTCACAACAACCCAAAGGAATCAACATCATATCTGCTTGAAAATTGTTGTGCTGTAGCATCCAATTAAAGTTTTTTACAATGGCTTCAATCTTCAATTTATTGCCATCTGCCATAGTAACTTGTAAAGGGTTCAATGCTTCCATTTTACAACCTAATTTCTTAGCTACTTGAACATCTAAAAAATTATGTGTACTGCCACTGTCAATGAGTATATGCAAGGATTTTTTTCTGTATCTACTAGTGACTCTCATGTTTCTGAAGCCTGTGATCCCAGTGAGTGCACTAACCGAAATGTGTGGTTCTCCAAAGTTACTAGTTGTCAATGTCTCTCTTGCAATTGTTTCTGATTGTAATTTCTCTTCATCCTCCTCCTCAGCTTCCACTTCCACCATGTCTAATTGAATCTTCTTGTGAGTCAAGCTATGCTCATATGTGAAGGGTTCATCACAAAAATAGCATAAGCCTTTAGACCTTCTTTCATTCATATAAGCTGGTGTTAAATTTCTCCTCACCTTCCTCGCTGTGGAATCCACCGAATTACCTTTAAAAGGAGTAGGCTTAGCTGTGCCACCCATTTGATTTGCTGATTCATAAAGTTTGGCAAGTGAAAAGGCTTTCATTATAGTAGTAGGTTGGAACATTCGCACTAACATTTGGATATCATGCTTTAATCCTCCCAGAAAACAGCTAAGAATATAATCAGCTGGTAAATCCAATTGATTAATTATGGCATCAAATTCTTCATGATATATGGTAACAGTAGAATGTTGCCTCAGATTCATCAATTCAACCATGGGATCTTCACAAATTCTTCCAAATCTATCTCTTAACAATTTAACATATGCAGCCAAGTTGGCCAATTATCGTTTTTTATAGATTTTGAAAAAGCATGATGCCATTGCATAGCCTTGCCTTCAAAATGCACAACTGCTAACTGCACTTTGAATTCCTCAGGAGTTAGGTCAATTGCAAAATACATGTCACATTGATAAATCCATTGATTCACATTTTCACCATTGAATTTAGGGAAATCAATTCTAGCCAACCTAGTGCCACAAGCGTAAGGAGCCCTATAATGAAAATGATGATTACCAGAACCAGAATGATGATTACCAGAACCAGAATCATGATTGCCCTCTAAATTTTGATGCCTGGGTCTCGATCCACCATTTTCATGACTTTCTTGCAACAATTCCATTAATGTCTTTTTCAATGAATCGTATAATGTCTTCTGCATCGCACCCACAAGTTCCACCATCTTCACTTCAATTTTCTCCGAAATGCGAGTTTCCAATCTTTCTTCTATCTCACGCAAAGCTGCTTGTGATCGCGTAGATTCTGTCATGGTTGTAAGAAATGTGCCACAGGAACAAGACTACTGATACCAGTTGTTACGGTAATTAATAGAACACAAGATGCTAGGAACTTCGTTCGAAGAATCTCAATTTGCAGGAAGTTCTATAAAAGAAAGAACCTCGAGACTTTATTACTTGAGAGAATACAGAGAGAAAGAATTACAATTGTTATCCAAGATTCAGAATCCCTTTCTTTATGCCTTAGTTAACTATTTATAGAATTAGTTAGCTGTCATCCACTAACTAATTCAGTTATAAAATTGACTATTACAAAAGCTATCTAACATCTCCAAAAAAGAAATGTAATGTGAATTGGATGAAATTGTTTTCATACTAATCATTAATCAGTATTTTTGTTTATTTATATACTTCTTTACTTTGTCCAACTAACTGATGTGAGATTTGGCCCTTGTTCAACGGTGAGAAATAATATGCTAGTTGGCAATAGTTTAAGCGTTCTACTTGTCCAAAGACAGTTTGATGCTTTGGACTTTTGGAAATCTTCAGTGACACTACAGACACAACAACTACCATTTTCATTTTCAAATTACTTTTATGTGTCATGTAGAGATTAGCTGAGAAGCGTGATCCCAGATCATGCAATAATTTCTACAATTTGAGATTTGTTTTCCAACTTTATTAACTCACACTCACTTCTGTAGGCACTGCATAGAACGGGGGATACATGTTTCTGTTTTCCGGTGCCAGGATGGACTATCAAAAGTTTGTTCAATCACTGCAGTGTCTTTCTGGTTCAGCAGCAAATTCCCAATGATTACTCTCTGTGTTGTTGGAGCTTTGGATAGTTGTGGGTGTTGTGTGTTGGACCTGTTCGTTAATGGCAATCAAAAGTTCCCCGGCTATTTCAAATATATGACTATTGATGATTCAATTCAGTCAAATCATGTTGTTTTGTTCAATCTGCAGCTCCAATTTAGCAGTGATGAGTTTGACACATTGTGCACTGTGAATGAATGGAACCATGCTGAGATTTCATTTTCGGAAAATGAAAGAACGGATTTTGAATGGATGGGAGTTTATGTGAAGGAACACAATACAAACATGGCGGATATTCGATTTACAAATCCTGGGAAAATGCTCATTACTGGATCGTGTGAAAAGTAGTTACAATTTACAAGTTCTAGTTATGTTTAGCTCTGTCTGTACACTCCAATGAGCTATGTGTTGTACAACAAGTACTAAAGCAGACAAAATCTCGCATGAGGTAATCTTAATGATGCCATAAAGTCCTTTGTATCAGTTTTCTGTACACTCCAATGAGCTATGTGTTGTACAACAAGTACTAAAGCAGACAAAATCTCGCATGAGGTAATCTTAATGATGCCATAAAGTCCTTTGTATCAGTGTTCTGTACACTCCAATGAGCTATGTGTTGTACAACAAGTACTAAAGCAGACAAAATCTCGCATGAGGTAATCTTAATGATGCCATAAAGTCCTTTGTATCAGTGTTCTTGCATGCCTCATGAAGATAAGTTAGTTCGGTGTTTTTAGCATTCATTGACAACATTATGACCATCCTTGCTGAATAGTTTGCAATTTGCGAAATCTGATGATGCATGAGGTAATCTTAAGGTTGAATTGTACTTTTGATTCTCTGTCATGTCTTGAATTTGATCTCTCCTTGATATTAATAAAAATTAATATTAAGAAATTAAAGTTAATCTCTTGTATTTATTTTTCTCTTTTATCTCTTATATATATCTTATTTTTTGCTTTTTTATATATAAACCCTAAACCTTATAATAAGATGGTAAAAATAAAAAGGGTTGATTGACGTACGAAGATAGACATGTGCAGTGATTATATATAGAGAGTAAACTCGGTCTTACGAAACGTCGAAACCTATTTGTCGTTTTCTTGTCAGACACCGCAACTTGATTTTTTAATTTTTCTTTTTCTTTTTAATTTTAGCAGATCGAGTGCATTGAATTTACGTGGATGTCGTTTTGGGAAAACCAAAGTCATTAATATGCGTTTTGTGAATGTCCTCATTGGTTTCATCGCATTCACGAGTTTCCAACACCATCAACACGTTGACCCTTAAGACGCGTTTCACCGTCGATGTTGTCACCACTGATCAATCAATGGACGGTCACGATCGATCGTAGTGTATCTGCACTAAAACACCGACTTGATCTTACTAACTTTTGCTTGTACACGAGAAATCAAGAACTCATGCTTACAATTAACAATCATTCAATGTTGCTAATGTTCTATGCATTTATGCTTCGCTTTAGAGCTTAAAGATCATTTTTGTTAGGAAACAATGAGTTCATTTTTTTATGTTAATTAATCCGAAATTGTTTTATAGATTAATTTTAAATATATAATTATATAAAAAAATTTCATATTATATATATATATATTAGATTTAATTACACTTTTGAACTTTGATATATTATAATCATATAATTTTAATATTTTGAATTTCAATTATATATAAGTAAAAGTAACTAATTTTCATAAAGATTAAGAAAGTTCATTAAATATATTTATTTTCACAATTTCACACAAAATATACACTATATTTTTTAAAATATTCTTAATTATATTCATGATAGATAGTGTTTTTATGTATTATCATATAGATATTTTTGAATTAAAAATATTAAATAAAATTGACTTAGTTAAAATTTATTTATATTTTAATGGAAAAAATTTAAACATTTTTTACTTATATAAATGAGTATCCACTTATATGTTAAACAATATAGTAGCATCACATCATTATTTAATTTCAGATTTGTAAAATTTGTTAAATACTTAATAAAAAACCGAAAAAAAAACTTAAAATAGCATAATTGTTATTATTTGAAGGACTTAATTCGTGCAATTGTAATATGAAAAATAAAATCACACGATTACAACACACAAAAAAAAACCTTTAATTAAGATTTTTTATATCATTAATGTAATTTAATTAAGTTGGACAACAACAAGAAAACGGAATTAGGATGTATGTGGAAATAAAAATTTGAACTAGCCGCCGAATTCAACTCATACACGTGATGTATATTTTATATGAGTATCATTATATACTCAGAATGATTATAATTAGAGTTAATTGGGTTTTAAAATTTAATACAGTACAATTCATTTCAGGCAAACGATATTAATTTATAAATAATTTCTTAAAGGGTTTTATTAAGGCATATTCACTTCTATAATATTTTTTTTTTGAAAAATATAAGTAGGTATACATAAAAAAAAAATCTATTTTAAAAATGAGTTTAACAAAATCAAATGTTTTGTACTAAAGTAGAATTACTTGTAAAATATAAATATGTTTCTACGAATAAATCATATAAATCAAGTACTCAAAACTATTTTTACATAACTAAAAAACTTAAAAAAAAATCATAAAATATACCAATTTTATCCGTTTGTAATATCAATATTTCAACTAGTTGTATTGCTCAAAATGAATTTTACTTATTTGAAAATAGTATTTACTTTTGGTGGATGGCATCCAAACAAACACGTAGAGTCGAAGTGTTGTATAAAATTTTGGAGGAATGTGATATTTGCAACACAACAGAAAGAAAAGACATAGAAAGTTAAAAATTGAACTTGTAAGCAAGGCATGTGTCAGAAGTTGACTAACTCAATGTTTTATTAATCCCACACACCAATCCTTGATTAACGCAACATCTTGACCACTCATAGATTGTCTCATGCATTTTAATTATTTTTTTATTCTAAGCTATGAATTCTTCAAACCTTTACACAAAATATAATAATATGGGTACAATATATACCTGCCACCATGCCTGCACTACAAACTAATGTTAATGTATGAGACAAAAAAGCATATTTGACCCGTGATTTATTCTTCTTATTGGTCACTATTCCTATGTTCCCTATGAGATTTTCACCCTAATTAAGGAGGGGCAAGGAAGGAATTTCACTCACTGTTTGGTAGAATATGAGATGAGTTTAGATTGTTTATCTTCGTACATTCATGTGTTCATAGCTCCCAATAATGTTGGAATTTTTAGATATATAATTTAGTAAACTCAGACCGTTGTCCTTGCAAGTAGACTACAGTAAAACCCATGTGAGGCTCACTGTGTTAATTATATAACAAGAGTCGTGTTCAGTTTCAATAAAATAAGTCAGAAAATTTTAAATACTTTAATAGAAGATGTACTGTTATGTTTTTTTTTTAAGCATTTCAAAGGGTTTCAACTTGACAACTTTCATGTCTCATAGTTTTGTCTATCTTAAAGAGTAGAGTTGTCAAAATGGGTAATCCGGTCTGGCTCAGTCTGACTTATCATGGGTTGAGTATTTAGTGAGTTAACCTAACCCGGCTCATTTATTAGTGGACTCAAAAAAATTTAATCCGGCCCGGCCCATCATGGGTTGGTGGGTTAAACGGTTTGGCTTACCTAATTTAAAAAAAATATATAATTTTTTTTAATATACAACTAAAGCCCAAAATCATAATAAAATGATCATTCTAAATATAATTAAATAAAATCTAAATAATCTCATGTAGACAAATATAATTCAAAATCATCTCAAATTTTAAATACAACAAAAATCATCTTCAAACTCTAATTTCAGTAATTTGGGTCCAATACACTAAGAGTGGTGGGTTGGTGGCAGCATACTTTTTTTTTTTTTTTTACGAGTTGGTGGGTCAGCCTGGCTCACCACGAGTTCAACTTAGGTGAGCCGGGTTGTTAGTGAGCCGGGTTCAAAATTAGCCCGTACTGAAATTTTTAATTTTTTTTTGCCTAACCCGGCTCGAACCCATGATGGGCCGGGTTGATTCACTAGGCTGAGCTCATTTTGACAGCTCTATTAAATAGTATATATATTTACACATAATTAAAATTAGCTAACAAAAGTTTCAGTGCATGAATTTTTAGGAGCTCTATTCTAAAAGTCATAAATGTGTCATTTGTAAAACCAATTACTTATATTTATTTTTTAATAATAAATTATTTATTAATGATAATCAATTAATTATGTATAATATATATTATTTATTATAAAACTGTTTCGACTTTTAAATTTGTTAGATTTGTTAAAGTTTTTATATATCTAAAATATTGTTTAATTTGATGATCGTAAAATTGTACGATTTTGTATTAAAAAAATATCTCAATGGATTTAGAGAAAAAGATGTTTATAAATCCCTTAATTGAGACTAAAAAATAAGAGTGACTTAAACCTTTATTCAAATGACAATGTTTTAACCTCAAATATGCTAAAATAATTAGGGTCATTGTATATCCGAGGTATTATCTGTTTTGACATTCGTTAAACCATCATACTTTTGTCTTTGAAAAAGCTTTTAGATGGGTTAAGAAATAATGATATTTATAAACTATCATTAGTCTCAACTTTTAAGTGATGCGAGACTTTTTGACATTATGAAACAAATATATTGCCCTAACAAACATTTTTAAAGCTTATAGTCTAGTCTTTTATACTTAAAATGACTTTTTAAAAAGGTTAAGCCTAACCTTATTTATAAACAAGTTAGGTTATGTCAAAGATCTATAATACATAACTTATTTTTACCTCTAAGAAACTTGACATGTTTTTCTAATCTATCAAAAAGATTTCAACAATGACAATAAGAATCAAAGTTAAGTGTTCATGCATCCACCAATATATTATAAATTTAAAAGAACACAAAATATATAGATCAATTTACATCATCATTAAGATCAAATTATCTATATTTATGAAAACACTTACTTCTCAAATTTAAATATTATTTTAGTGTAATAATATCTAAAAAAAACTCAAACATGACAAAAGAAACTAAGAAAATAATAATTAAAAATATCAATAAAATATAAATCACTTATACTTGAATAAATAAAATAGTCAAATTTAAAATATCAATAAAAAATAAAGACCATGCAGCTCTTACTTCTCAAATTTTTTTTTGCCTCAAATGCTAATAACAACAAAATATTAAAGGAAAAGTTTCCAACCATTTTCTTACACTTCCTCTCATGTTAGATGATAAGTTTTTGAAAGTGAATCCCACATAAAATTATACTAATTTTTCTCCTCTTCCTCTATAATTCCTTTATTCCTTTTTTTGGTGTTATAATTTTAAAACATTTTTGTTCGTAT